AAACATTTAATAGTAGACCAGGAGTGAACATGAGTGAATGACACAGGTTAGTGATTGTGGTGCTTCTAATTAATTGATCCTACCCCTGATTATATAGGTTGTTGTATCTATTTTTAAAATTTAATTGTTGAGGTGTGGTAGTGTTTCACACCTTTAGTCCTAGGACTTGGGAAGCAGATTCAGGCAATCTTTGTGAGTTTGAGGCCAGGCAGGGCAACACAGAGAATAGTTTCTCAAAATTCCAAAAAAAGTTTGTTTTATTTTTTGTGAATTTCATATAGGAGTACTGTATTTCCTTCATTTCCATACTTCCCTCTGCTTGAAATCTTCCTATCCCACACTTCCTCACAAATTCATGATCTCAGCTTTGTTATTGTACTCGTATAAACATAGATGCAGATGTAATTAAAGTAATTTAAAGAAAAATTCAGTTAACATTCAGATTATGAATATATATTCATTTTTTCATGGGAATTTTTTAAGAGCTCAAACATAGCATAGAAGGGAAGTAAATTCCTAGTTTTAAAATCAAGATATAATAAATGAGTTTTTTCGGATTTTTTTAGTCAATTCTAAGGAAAAAGTGTTAATATTTTAGCTTTCTTAACTACCTGAAATATATTAAGGACCTCTCAAAGAGCCTTTTAAGTTTAAGTCTTGGTGAATTCTTACAGGTATAAAGTAGCAACATTAGGGCTATAGAGATGACTCAGTACTGGAGAATTATTGCTGTTCTTTCAGAGAATCAAGGTTTGATACCAACAACCATGTCAAGTAGGTCATACCTATTTTTAACTTTAGGACTAAGGACCTGTTCTGGCCTTTGTGTGTGTGTGGGTGTTCATATGCATAAATAAAGCAACAGAAATTAAGCTTGGAAAAATAGCAAGCAGGGTAGTCATTCTTACAGTTTTGCAGAAAGATAAAACTATTGGTTATTTTCTCCCTTGGCAGCTTACATAGCATCTTCTAATACTGTGAGAGCTAATCTGGAGGAAAGAGGTTTCCAGGTCAATTCCAGCTCAATTTCTCCAACTCCTGTGTCTGAAGTTGGTGATGTTTTTAACAATAGGCTCTTATCTTTGAGTTCAGGGAGGCAACCAAGGTTGATAACAAAAGGTTATATTGACCTGGATAAGGAGCTATGGGTAAGCTATGGGTCTTAAGAAAGGATTAGTTTTCTTTTATGGAGGAGACTCCTGATATATTATCCAGTCCCAGGTTGTCAACCCTAAACACTTGTGGACACCAAAGTCATCAAATTCTGTGGAACTGGAGTTACAGACATCTGCAAGCCACCTGAAGTGGAAGCTGGGAACCAAACCCAAGTCTTCTAATAGAGGAATATGTGCTCTTAAGTACTGAGACATCTCTCCAGCTCTATTATTCTTTTAATACAAGAAACTTATACAACAAGAGGCTGAGGGTCTTCAAATCAAGTCTTTTAAATGATTCATTTCTAATCTGTTT